CCCCAAAACCCCAAAACCCCAAAACCCCATGGGCCTTATATAGTGTAGAATTAAAGAAATAAATGATTGGTGGTTTCGGTGTGATTTTTGATTGAATTAATCATCATCTTCAAAGAATAGCTTTGGGAATGCAGGTCCATTTTTGCTCTGGGATGGAGTACTTATGAATGTAGATGTCATTTCCGAAGGCATACAAATGATGATTGAACACTAAGGGAGTGTTCATATAAGAGCAAGGATTCACAAGGGATCCTCTCTCAACAACCTCCATCTTCTCGATGTCAAAGACGAACACACCGTTAAATATCTAGAATGTCAGAGCGCTTTTACCACCAAAAATCATAATCTCCTTATCAGTGATTTGATAAGCAAGACTCATATAAGCCGGGATCCACTTAGTCTTATCGCAGAGAGTTGAGGGAATTTCTTGCCAGGAATTTCTCTTGATATCATAAACTTCAATTATATCAACGATCCTTTTTTAGTCTACTCTACCTCCGAAGGCAAAGAGATACTAGTTTTTGAAACTGCAAAGAGCAACGCCTGATCTTGGGATGTTTAGGGGCGCTATAACCTTCCATTTATCTTTTTGACAATCATATCTCTCGGAGTAACCGTAAACTTAGTTGTTTACAAAAGTGCCTACAACAAAGATAAAAGACTCAATGGCACAGAGCGAATGATCTGCATGAGGGTATACCATATCTGATTTGGCTTCAAGTCTGTTGAAAATCTCATCAAATCTGTAGCATTTCTTAAGATACATATTTTATCTCTTAATATAGCCCCCAATAAGGTAGATTTAACCAGATTCGATGGCGATTGACCTTGAATATAAAGGTACTTCCTAGTCCATAGTCACCATCCTTTTTTCAAAATTGTTGGTTTTCACCTTGTATATCTAGGCGTATCTTTAGTTCCACTGGAATGAATGCAATCTCTGGCCCACTAGATTTCCGAAACTATTTTTTACATTGAAATCAACTCGTAGATTTCCCTCTACAAGATCATTAAACTCTTTAATTATTTCATTTGGGTCCTTTTCTACCAGTCTTTGAAGCTTTCCGATGCTTTCAAATTCATTGAAGTACTTTTCAAATTCAGCATCTAAGTCTGTGAAGATGTTATAATACTGCTCCAGGACCTAAATTTGTTGATCCTCACTTTACTAAGATGCTATTTATGAAGCTTGCTAAAGCTAAGTGTATTTTTAGGAGAGTCTTTGAGTGAAGCCTGGCACTTTTCTCTCGATATCTTTTCTGATATTCTCTTATTGCTTTTTCACTAGGTTTGTAATTTCCTCATAAAACTGTTGCTCTTACTAACCAACAAGAGCCTCTAAGTGATCAAACATTCCACTCATTAAGTTTGGCAGCGTATTTAAGTAATTTTCTGATTGCTCTTCTCTTTCCTTTAGCTCCATCTCGTAGTATCTGTGGTCGTTTCTGAATTCCTAAATTTTCTCTAAACTTCTGCTAACCATGTTCTTTTCTGTTTGATAAGTGTTAAGGGCCATAGTACTTATCCCTAGTCCTTAAGCAATCAGATTCACTTGATTTTAATTGAGTTGATTCTTTCTTCTTCTCTATTGTTGCTATTTCATATACTCAGGGATACATTTCCTGCAGACAGGTCTTTCCAAGTGAAACATGACAGGCTCTGGGAAGTGAGTTTCGCATAGATTATTGCTGATCTTAGACCTTGGATTCATGTAATTTTAGACCATTGGTGGCATCATCCCTCCTGGTCCTAAATAAACTTTACCATATTATTATGGTGGCTAGCCGATAGGCATCTGATTAGTTGGCTAAAGCTAATTTTATTATTAGGTCTATGCTTGAGTTTTCACTTGAGGTTGGCTATTGATGTTTATGGGACGCGGAACATTGAAATCCATTTTATACTACTGCTAAGGTATAAGGCCTTAAGATTATTTTGTAATTTGATTCAATAGTTCTGGGCTGCACATTGATACAAGTTAAAGGAGGACACCTTCTAGCTGCCCTTTGTCCATTTAATCAATGTTATCTTTATGGACTATCGGCATTATTTGATTATAGTTCATCATTCCTCCTCCTGCATTGTTATTATTGTAGTTGTTCATTGGTGCCACCCCGCGGTACTATCCTCCTCCTCGGTTATTCTACTTTGGCTGATATTACTAATGGTATTATGGTATTTGCTGTTGTTGTTGCCCTGGAGCTGGTTGCTAGTCAGCGGCAAAGGTTGCTTTGGCTTGGTAAATTGGTCTACCTTGATGATGTTTTCTATTGTTTGGTCCAGGCATATTGGTAGCGATTATTGATTTGTATTTATATATATTAGATTTGGAATTTAATATTTAAATTTATAATTATATTTTATCAGAAATAACTCATAATTCAACGCTATGGGGTTTTGGGGTTTTGGGG